TGGATACCACATTGTGTCCACAAATACATTGAACTTTAATATTGGCAGCTCTGGACTTCCGTACTCTGGTTGCCTATGTGATGCAGTGTGCATGTGCGTGTATGTGTATGTGTATGTGTGTGTGTGTGTGTGTGTGTGTGTGGCGGGTTAGTCATTCAGATTGATCCCTTCTTCCTCCTCTCCAGCGCTTATCTTCATTCAGTCCATCCCAAATTGCTGATTCGCCAGCCCCCTTTGCCAGGTGGAGCTCCTGCAGTCAGCAGAATAACTGCAGCACACACTCACACTGTGCCAGTTACACACACATCACCTATTACCCCCCTCCCTGCCTGAAAATAGTCATTACAGGATCGGGACGACTGCTGCTGCTGCTGCTGCTGCTGCTGCTGCTGGAGGGGGTGCAGCAGTGAGTAGGTGGCGCATGTGTGGAAAGATGTGAAATGTCCTTTTAAAAACTTTGAGTCAGGCCCTTCACCGCAGGACACGAGGAGAGCAGCTGATGTGTGAAATGAGAATAGAGGGGAGATGAAGACGGAGATACAGCCAGAAAAAAAACTGCTAAAGCAGGGAGGGAGGAGGCTGAGAGGACTCTGCAGCAGCAGAAATGATGCAGGGGAATGAAGTTTCAGGCTCCATTGGCTCCATTAGCTGGTGAACTGTGATTCCCACCAGGCCTGCTGGATGAGCTCCAGTACTGATTCATTGACAGCTGTCATGTTCCATTGCTGTTAAACACTAACAAATATTGAAAAGACAGTATTGGTTATATTTTGTCATAAAAATAAATAGTTGAGGTCGTTTAGGACAGTTCGGTACACTCCATAAAGTGTTTCAAAGGACCTATTTGCACCACTTAACTAAATGAATAATTGCAAGATAAAAATTCTAGTTGACTTAGATACGTCCTTTTTAAGTAAGGATAACTCGATTAAGTTTTTTGCTCCCCGGTTTGATTGCAGTCATGTAACATTGAGTGCTCAATCCCCAATCCAACACCTTTTTCCTATATAACACACACTTTAAGTACATGAAAGTCACCAAATCAATCCAGTGTTTGTGTTTGACAAGTGTATAGCTCTGCAATGTGTTAAGAAAAGAACACATTCTGCATCTAAGTTGTTGCTTAATGTTATGTAGGTGATCAGAAACCTTGTTATATGGCTCCAGTAAGGTACTGCCTGAAATTTACCATGGAGATGGTGGGGTGTATTATGGCTGGACAAGCTCCAAAAGACAGTGAAAAACTGCATTGTCTACATGCATGTCAGAAAATGTGTTGTCTTTTAGCTATAGGACCTTGTTGTTCCACCATGTGAAGCCTCTTACTGTTACAAACTGCAGCGGCTCTAGGAAGTGGTCACTTGGACTACAGTCAGTGGGCACATAGAAAGCATTGTGAGGGTTTAGCCAGCACCAGGCCTATGACTTCTGTGATTCTTAATGACTTCCAGTCAGATTGATAAATTATGATAAGTCCTTTTATCTCAGAGACATTTGTAACAGAGCTGACTTTTAAGCCCATATTATGTTACTAAAACAATAAATCAGCACAAGACAAATGTCCACTTTGCTCAATTTGTGTTATTCAAATTATTTAATTATTTAAATATTGATTGAAAACACTGCAGATTAAGAGACTTATTCAGTATTTGCATCCCTTGCATCCTGCCACAACTACATCTTTATAATATCTATGTGACAACGGACATAAACAAAGAAACTAGTTTATGTGCCAAAACCAATCAGTTAAAGAATTCCTTCATTATCCCTCATCTCAGCCATGCAGCTTTCACATACAGATGGTTAACTTTTTAATATTTTTTTAAACTAAGTTTCAGGTAGATTTCAAAGGTGATTCAAGGCCACCTTCCCATTATTATTTCTATTTTCGAACTCTTTTAAATTAACTAAGCTTATCGTTCCATGCAGTCTCTTCACAATGTAAAAGTGTCTCCTGAGGTACAGCTACTCCTGGCTGGGAGTAACTAATCCACACAGTTCTTAATGTTGGAGAACCTACATGTGTTTAAGACATCATCGGTCTGAGTGAAAAACCTCAAACGCAGCAGAGTGTAAAACATTCCTCGGCATCCATCTGTGTGGAGGGTAAACAAGGCTGAGTCTTTATAGGCCAGGTGTGTCGTCACCTGTTTGTCCTCAAACACCATGATGAAGGTTCAGCTATGATGACGCTTTATGCGACTTTCCGTTTGTGTTTGCAGATCCGGTAACTTATGAGGCACTCTGAGCAAAGAAAGCATTTAATTCTGGGTTTCCTCACTGCTTTTGACCTCATCAATCTTCAACCTTTAAATTCCATCAATTAAAATGGCTGTAAAAT